CCGAGTCTCTATTTCCCTGCAGCCTTCTCGCCTCGGCTCTTCTCGTGCTTTCGTTTCCTCTCCGCGCGCCTGCGGCCAGGGGCTCTCGGACGGGCAGCGTCGGCGCCGCCCGCCCCCGGGAAGAGCCGGAGGCCCCGCGCCTCGCCTCCGGGAGCCCCTCGGTGCGCCATCGGCCGCAGCGGAGCTGGGACTTTGTCGGAAGCGGGAGCCCGAGCCGCAGCCACCCGCCAGAGCGCCGACCAGGCAGCGGCGCGGCGCGCTCCGGGCTGGCTTTGGCCTGGCCCAGGGGACAGACAGAGGGGCAGACCCGCAACTCACACACACAAGCCACAGGCCCCCACACAGTGGGACTCGGCCCGCAGACATCGTCCACGGACCACACAGGCACACCGAGCCTCACAGCCAAATCCGGCCACAAACACCGAGATCAACAAATGTCACGCACAGCCCCAAACATACACATACACAACCCTCACAGAGCATAGACATAATGGACATATACGTGATCATAGTACACATACACCAACCAGCACACACATGATTACACGCTGCAAACACACATGACACAGAGATACAAGAAACCTACTTGCACACACTTAGCAGCTCAGGGGTATTTCAGGGCTAACTCAGACCATCACAGTGGTGACCCTCAGGAGCACTGAGCAGTGGAAGGGAAACCTGCCTGGTCTCACCAGCAGGCACAGCAGTAGCCATGTACACAGCCACACAAGAGTTCAGTACCTCTGCCTGGACTAAGGTTGTAGGGGCTCCAAAGGTGGGGAACACTGGCTGCTTGTTTAGCTGAGGGATCTAGCCCAAATCTGAGAGGCTGAGCCCCAGAAATGAGCATCATACCTAGAAAGCCCTCTGTGAAGCAGACAGAAGCCAGCACTGCACCAAGAAAATGGCACTCTTAGAGGAAAAGCAGGCATGCGGTGTGTGTGCCAGGATGTATGCCATGCCACATGGATCACACACAGCGCTGGTGTTTGGCCAGATGCCTGCATAGAGACCATTATTTTTGTGAAAATGAGCAGAGGAGATGTATTTGGTTTGAGGATTAAAAGTAATATGTATATACAGATACAAATACAGGTACCAGTATACTCCTAGGAGGTGGAAAGTAGGAAGTCTCTCTCTAGCTCCTTACCACATTGTAATCAAGCTGGCACACTTGCCTGAGCCTGGGTGTCCAGGTCTGCTCTCCTTTCCAGGGCAGACATGATTGTTTGGTGCTGTGGGAGCTCTGTGGTGAAAGGCTGGTTTGTGGGAGAACCATAGATATCTGATATATTATCAAGGCCCCAAAAGGGGAGATTGGGAAGCTTTGCAGGGTGTGGGGGGGAATCTGAATCTCTGGGGTAAAAGTCTATCTGGACCAAGCCCCAGAAGTCTTGGGTGTGGAAGGTGCCCTTGGTCAGAGCAGTGCAAGTGGTGGCCAGACATGCCTGTCAGGTGGTGGAGCCTGAGTGCAGGCAGGTGTCAAACACAGACCGTCTGGGTGAAAACACAAACCTGTTCATGTCGTACACAGACCTGCTCCTCAGACAGACAGCTCCCAACAACCACACCGGGCAGGAGGCAGGCAATGTACAGTCACAGATGTCCACCTGGATTGCCAGGGACATTAATTTTGTAGGGGAGAAAATAAGAGATATGTATATATACACACAGTGCTGAATAGGTTTGGAGCTCAGTTATTGTATAGGAGAGCCACAGAAGAGGTAGGAACGTGCGTAGTTCAAAAGAGAAATGCCGGTGAGTCCCAAGTAGAATGCCAGACTTCAAGATGGGTCTGTATGGGGCAGCCCTGGAAGGGGGTCGGTTGATTGCCCACACAACTCCAGATGTGTGCAAAGGGATGCTGCAAATCTACTTGTCAGTTTCCAGGCTGAACCTGGGGAAGAAACAGGCAGAAATGAGGGCCACATCCCAGTACTCTAACATGGGGTAGAGAATGGCAAGCTTGGCCCCTGGGGCGGGTTGGCTCGCACTCTGTGGGTCAGCACTCTCCTTGGCTGGGTTGCTGGTGCCTCTCCACTCTTCTGGCTTTCGCTCTTGTAGATCTGTCACTGTGTTTCTCTCTCTCTCAGTTTCTGTCTCTGGTTGGTTTTGTCTTTCTCTCTGTCACTGCCTCTCTAGCTCTTTTACTATCCTGTGTTATATGGCCACAAAGAAACACAGCCAGATCCAGACGGGAGCAGTTATAAATACAAATGCACATCATAAATGTGGAGGTCATTGATGAGAAAGCCCACCCATCTTGGATCTGTATACATTTAAGTGACAGCACATTTTTATGTGTGTATAAAAAACTACATACAGCCTTGAAATTGCTTGCTTTCAGTCTTTTGGCTATGTTCTGTCTCTGTATCCATTTCTGTCAAGGGCCCTTCCCCTTCTCCACTGTGGCACATGTGAGCAGGCGTTTTGGGCCTTGCACCCTGCCAGTTTTGGTAATCCCTCCTCCCCCCGTATTGCCTTCTTTGAAGTTTGCCTCAGGTGGGCACAGATTTTTTTGAGACAGAGATAGCTAATAGTCCCCCTGCAGCTGACCTGGAGACATTTGAAATTTGACGGAGATGCAAGTATCTCTAGGAACATAGAAAGGGCTTTGGGGCCAGAGAAACTCTTAATCTACCTAGGGGTTGGAGGAGTGGAATAAGGATGTAGACAAGGCTCTGAAATCCCAGCCCTGGTCCATGGCTGCCAAGGGCCAGCGGAATCCCAAACAGCCAGGCAGGGGAAGAGGCGCCCAACTGCAGGGCAAGGCCTGGAAGCAATATGAAGGAAAAGTAACAAAAGCTGTCATGGTCCTGCTTCCAAATCACAGATCTGGTGTAAATACATCTGAGTAAGGGAAGGCTAGAGTAGGAAAAGGAAGGCAGTGATGTGACTGACTCCTTAGAGACCGAGCACCCTGTGGAGATCTAGCTAGAGAACCAGAGACTGAACAAGCACAAGACTTGTTAGCCGACTAAGATAGCACAACCCCATAGGGAAGAGGAGGGGCAGCTCAGGCGTGGTGGGAGAAGGGAGAGTGGAGAGTCGGACTTTGTCCACGTGATTTGTGCTTATCATGTGGTGGTTGAAATAAAGGATGAGCTAAAAGCCTCTGCTTGGGTCCCCTGACCATTTAATAGGTCATAGAAAGAGGGCAAAGGACTTGATAATGTGGGGTGTGGATGGGCAAGGCCTGGTTCCATGCTGCCCCAGCCCCAGTGAACTGGAGAGCTCAACCCTCCCTGCTCTAGGTAAACAGATCCTCGCTTTCTCTCCAGACCTGAATTCTTTGTGCCTCCTTCTGTGTGAGTTTGTGACTATCTCTGGCTTCTCTACACCCTCAAACTATGGATTTGCCGCTCTCCATCACCGTCATTGCTTCACAGCTTTTCTGGCTTCATCTGTCTCTGTCTTTCCATGCTCACCCCCCTCCTTTTGTTAATTCAAAGGCTTCTTTCTCACTGAGCCCCTCCCCACTCTTCCCAGAATAACATTGAGTAAAATGAGATGAAACCCGCCTGTCCTACTCCTTTCAGCCCCCCTCCTCCAGGGCTACAACCCCCTCTTATAATGTCAGATAATTGCTGGTGTGCAGCTCTGAGGAGCCAGAGCTGATACAAGAGGAGAGGGGGGAGAGAAATAAATAATAATTTGCTTCCATTCAGCATATATAGCTTACCTGATTTGCATATATGCTAATAATGCTATAATTACCCTGCTGTTCTGGCCTGTGATCAAGTTCTATAAATACATAGTATAGCAAAGCTAAGCCTAGGAGCACCACCCCCAAAATTATAATGTATATGTATGTATATGTGTGCATTTATGTGTACTCTAAATCTGTGAGCTTCTCTTTGTTATAATAAACTCCTCTACAGATCCTAGGACTTCTGGCTTTCAGCTGCTCCTGTGTTTTGAGGCAACTCCAAGGGAGGAAGAAAGAGATGCCTGAATGAGAAAATATTCTTGGTTATATTTAATTTTATATTTAATTTATTGATATTATTATGAATAAGCCTTTAGTATTTTTAGGAAAATCAAAGATTTCCCAGAATTATTGAATTAGCTACTATTATCTGAATGCCCCCACCCCCTACAGGCCCACACACTGGGGTACATGCAAAGAGGACACATCCAGACCCTAGGCCTGTTGGGATGTATAAGAAAATGCTATCTTGGGAGAGGAAGTGGACACCCCTTCCCCAAATCTGCCCCCACGCTCCGCATGCTCCCCACTCTCAGGAAACCTGGGGAAGATGCTCACAGAGTTGTGCAGATTTTTGGGTGATGGTGGCAGAAGTGGGGAGGAAGCTTAGAGGAACATAAAAGATGCAATCCACAGCTGTCTGCTTTTAATTATAATTATCCCCTTTTGCTTCCTTTCTGGCTAATGAGGGGGGGATTAAATTTTTTTTCTCCCTCTTCTCCCCCTCCCTCCTTTCCCTGGAATTGAAGGGTGGAGTGAGTTCAGGGTCCTCCTCCCCTTCCTCCCCTACCCCCTGGTTACTGGGGGAAAGGCAGACTCCAGAGGGTGGTGACAGTATGACGAGATTTGTAGGAACAAAGGAAGGACAGGTTTGGATTGCTGGACACGTCCCAGAGTTGGAGAGACCCCCCCTCCATTCCACTGGCACCCCCTCCCATCAACCCCCCAGCTCCCTAGACAAGGAACTCAATGTCCTCCAGCCGGTGAGAAAGGAGCTAAAGGGAGCCCTGGTCTAGAGGGAAGGAGGAGGGAAGGGGTGGGCAACTGGGGTGGGGGGTGCAAAATTAGTCTCAAAGGATCTTTATTTCTGAGCTAGTGAAGCAGATGTAATCAAGGGGAGAGCAAAATAATCATAATGGGAGGATTGAGGGGAGGGGAGGCCAAGGCTGGAGTGAAGGGACTGGGCTGGGACGGGTGAGAACTGGGGGGGCAGGGAACCGTGAGTGGGGGCAGTCCGTTGCCTTTTCCCACCTCCCCAAGGTCTCCCTACTTTGGGGTGGGGAAAGAAGAACCAGGTCTATATAGCCTCTGACCTTAGCTCTCAGAATCCCTCTTTCAGAGCCTAGGATGGCCAGTCCAGAAGGTGGCTGGAAAGGCACCGGGGAGAAGAGCGCCCAGCTCCAAGCGAGGTAGTGAGCAGAGGGGAGCCTGAAAGCAGTGGGGGAGGGTGAGAGAGGGGAGCGCAGAGACTCAAGTGGCCTCCAGGTCTGTGGGACAAAAGTTGGAGGGAGATTTGTATATGAGAGGGGAGGGGAGGGGATCTTGGTGAAGGGGGGGCTTTGACAATGAACTTGAGACAAACTTCATTAGCATGCAGGCCTGCTGTCTGTCACATCGAGCTCAGACTGAGTTCCCATGCAGGCCAGGAAGAGTGGGAGGGAGAAAACGGGAGGGGCTGGGAGTGGGGGTGAGAGAGAAAAGAGACCCAACCTTTGTACCATGCTGGGCCCCAGCTCCCACCAAATATCGGGACCCCAGCCCTGGAAACCAACCCCCAAATCACTCTCCCTCCTCCAAGAACAAGATAATTTATCTCCCACTTTGAATCCATGGTCCCACCCCTCCTCCTTGTCTAGACTTTCAAGGCCTGGCCTTCACCACCCCCACCTTGTCCCCCCTCCAGCTCTCAGCCTTCATCTTCCAATTGTCACTTTCTCCTGTACAACTAAGATCTGGATTTGTGCTTAGTTGAGCTGACAGGGTCAGGGAGTCGGTGGGGGGAGGTTTGGGAAGGGGGACCAGAACACCGTGAACCTCCAGTGACAAACTCCTCTTTCTATCACTCCTTATCAACTCCACTCCTCCGCCGGACACACGCATCAGCTGACCGTGCTCTCAGGTTCTAAGGTGAGCTGGAACTGGAAGAAGACTGGGCCCAGGGGTATTTCTGTCACACCCTTTCTCTTGCTTCTTTTGGGGATGAGGGTGGCTTGGAGGAACAATAGCTTCCCTGAGCCCCTTCTTCCTGCCTCAGGTCAGCAAAGGCAGTAGGAGCAGGTGGGCAAGAGTGGAGGTTACAAAGCCCCCTTTAGAAGAAAGGAGGGGGCTTCATCAGAGTGGGATGCTGTTTTGGTGGTGGCAGTGTCTCGAGACAAGGGCAGCACCCCCATTTTGCTGCCTTTCCAGGGAGAGCAACAAGAGAAAGAAAGAGAGAGGCAAGCGAAATTCCTGAATGGATAGAGAGATGCTACGTCACCGGAGCTGCATCCTCTGCTCCACAAGAGGCTAGGAGCCGGGGAGAGAGGCAGTCCAGCGGCTGGGGCCACCCGAGCAGTTTCTCCTCCATAAGCCAGGTAAGTGGCCATCTGGGAGGGTCCTGCCCCGTCAGACACCTGGGCTGGGGTGGGAAGGGATCCCCTACATTCAGTCAGGGCACCGTCACCTTCCTACTTTGCCCACCGGCTAATGGAGGTGGGTGCAATAATCACAGAAAGGAAAGGCAGATTAGATCTAGGGGATGCCCAAAAACGGAGGAGGCATGTGTGTGAAGGAATGGTTGGCAGAGTGGGCCCTCACCTTTCCTGGGCACCTATGGTGGCAAGCTGAGGCAGCAGCCCTGCCCAGCCGCCCCAGAGTGCATCTAGGTCCCTCTCCTTCCCTGGCCAACCGAGAGACAGCTCACTAAGTTTGTCAATGGGATTCAGGGGGCTTTAGGGTCACAGAGCTACTGATCCTATTAATCTGCCCCTCCCTTCTTTCCACCAGACACAGCCAACATCCTAATGCCTGCACCAGGAGAGGCAGGAAGGGAGGTTGTATGGAGATGGGAGGGAGGAAAGACAAAAAATGGTTCTGTATTTGGGCTGCTGAGCTTCTTTCCTCGCTCTGGCTCTTATTCCTCTCTGCCTCAGAGACTTCAGGTTTTAGGGGAAGACAAAGTCTGAATGGCAGAGGTAGGGGGGAAAGGAGCCACATTTCCAAAAAGATAGAGACCAGAATTAGAAAAAAAAATCCGAAACATTCTATAGAATCTAGATTAGTTTCATTCTGCTTCCTGCTGCTTTTCCCATGAGCTGGCAGGTGGGAAAGGGACTGAGGGGAGCTTAATGTCTAGGGAGGTGTTGGGGGCAGATGCTTAGGTTCTAGAAGGGAACAGAACTCTACTCCAGCCCTCATCACACCCATCTGATTTTTAAATTTCCTGTTTTTTAACAAGGACCAGGGGTTATAGAAAAAGGCACTTTTCTCACCCGTAGTCCCCACCCACATGGTGCTTTCAGGGAGACAGGCTAGGGCTTGTGGGGTATTGGAGGCTGTAGGCCAGTGGACTATCTCTGGGTACCCCAGAGGCCAGATTTCTGGGAAAGGCTGGGGATGTCAGCCATCAAACATGCACACACATGTTCCATGCCTCCTGGGGGGTGGTCCTTGTCACTGTGTTCCCCTGAGCACTGTGTGTGTGTGTGTGTGTGTGTGTGTGTGTGTGTGTGTGTGTGTTGGGGGGTACAAGTCAGAGATCAGCAAGGAGATGTACATTGCCCCAGGGACCATACAACTCTTTTGATTAGGGTGGAAGGAGACAGAGGCTCCTCAACTGTCCTTGTGTCTGTTTTCTAAAAGTTGTGGGGGGGTCATTCCCTCTTTGGTATGAAGATAACAATTTCAGACTGAGACATCCCTTTAGGAACTGGATGGGCTGGCAGAGTGAGGCTTGGAGTTAAGGGGTTATTTGTAGGTGTTAGAAGTGGGGAGGAGAGGTGCAAAACACCCCTCCTAGAAATCAGGATTGGCCTTAAGGCTTATCCCTGCTCCCAGCTCTCCTTTTTCTGATTTCCTCTTCATTTAAGTAGGTTTACCTTCTTGACTTAAAAAAAAAAGAGAGAAGAATAATTAATTGTGGAATTGGCTTGAGGTAGAAGGATTCACCAACTTACCCACAAAGACACACACACACACACACACACACACACACACACACCATTCCTCTTAGTATTTTAGGAGCTGGGTCACTTACTGTATACAAGTCATTCCCCCAAATAATAATTTAGCCTGAAAGCAAAATACTGAGAAGGTGAGACTATAAGATATTGAGACTTGGGTTCCATATCTAATATTAAAATTTAAAAAACCTAACTGCTTTGTATTCACTCCTTTTGTGTATGTGAGAAAGAGAAGGAGAGGAAGAGAGGGAGAAAATTGATTGCTACAGGATATGTCTTTATGGATCCTCAGAGATATGCATGGATTGATGATAGGTAGTTAGATAATGACAGAGATGAGAAGGGAGAAAGCTAGACATAATGTGATTGACAATATCCTAAATGCATGGCACTTGACAGTTTACAAAGAAGTTATATATAGATGGATGAAAATACATCCCTGACCCCAGATTTTTCATTCAATCCTGAGCATGCTTTCTGGTCGACCATGAGCAGCAGGAATCTGTGAAGAGTAGTGCCCATTGGGTAGGGGACTACTTTAGGCTTAAGCCAGAAGGGCTGCTGCATCTCCACAGGCCCAGTTCAAACCCCTGGGCCCTGAGGTTTTGGATGAATGTGGAGCGAGGCTGTGAGGATGGGGCTGGGATAGAGTTGTCCAGGCAGGATGGAGCTGGAGAGGCTCTGGCCAAGGGCTCTGCCCTCCCTGGATGGCTAGGCTTTTCTCTTTCAGCTATCTCCCTGTGCAGCCTTGAGCTCAGGCGGTTGAAAAGGGCAACCTACATTGCCTAGCTCCTAAAAACATGAGACAAGGAGAAAAGGAGTCGATGAGAGAGTGGGAGGGAGACTGGCAACATTTGGAGAGAAGATTGGAGCCACTAACAGGACCTTAACCTTGGCATTCTCTTTGACAGGAGCTGGGCATCCAAGAAGAACCAGCCTCATTTGTTTCTGGTGTCATCGTAATTGGCCACCTTTGGCTTTTGGGGTATTTATTTTATTTGTTTGTTTTCAATGGTGGTATGGGTAGGGGAGGAGAAAGAAAGCTGGCCCTTCATCACTCGTGTTTTCTCCTGTTCCCTACACCCCTCTCTCCCACTCCCTATCTCTTCTGGCTTTTGGGCACTGATTTTGGTCTGCTCCAATTGCACTTAAGTCCTGTATAGCCATTGACAGTGGGAATGAAACAAGGTGGCTTAGGAAAGAAAGGCCATCCGCCATCCTGTGCTCAGTTCTGTGTGAGATGGGGAGGCATTGAGGATTCAGGGAACTGTTTTCCCATCTCTCAGAGGCTCCTGAGGGCAGAGAGGGAGGCCAGTTGCCCTTGGGGGAGGTGGTTGGGTTACAGAAGAAGCAGAGTATCTGTTCATGGGTGACAGAAGTGAGAAAGGAGAGGAGTGGGCTGTGGTGAGTGGGGACCTAGGGAGCCCTGTGTGCACCAGGGAGTCTGCCTGTAAACACCGGGAGATGGTCCTACTGGGAGTATCTGTGAATATGTCTTTGCATTTACCTCAGCTGATAGGAGTGTGTGTGTGTGTGTGTGTGTGTGTGTGTGTGTGTGTGTGTGTGTCTGTGTGTGTGTGAGTGCATACATGCACAGCCCCCTTACATGTGCAGGCTTTTGCCCCTCAAGGAGACCATTTGCTGATGGCCCACCCTCTACCATCTCTGTCACCTTGTTCTCACCTCCCAGGTCCCATGGAACCCTCAGGCAAGGGAGCAGCATGTGGGTTCAAGGACAGAACTGGGAGCAGGCGGGGGAAGTAGTGCTTACACAGGCCTGAGGATGCTCAGGCTGGCCTCTCAGCAGAACAAAAATCCGCTCTCATGGGGAGGGGAGGGTGTCATCCCCAGGGATAAAATCTTCCAGGTATGTCCCCTTGCCCTCTAACCTTATCTGCCCCACTGGAGATATTTATATATTTTTTTTACAGCTTCGGCATTTTTTTAAACTGCCAATTCTTGCTTTTATTTGTCTCTATACCATAGACAATGCAAATATTCTATAGCAAAAGAATAAGTATGATAATATTCATTATAACAATGCACTTATAAGACAAATAAATACCTGAACCTACCCTCCTCCAAATGCAGTTTTCATCTGTATCTTCAAAGCAAATTAACCTGATAACCGAAACAAAGAAAATATACACTTTTTATTTAATTAGGAATATTTCAAGATAGTGGCTTAATACCAAATTATTTTAGGACCCAAATTATAAGAATCTGTCCAAAGGCTGCATCCAGAGAGCATAATTCAAGCCATGTTTTTCTGTACATGAGCCTCTCCAGGCACACAGACAATGAATGGGTGGGCATCAGGACTGTAGGGATGGGGGTGGGGACAGGCGCTGGCAAAGAATGTTGTAGGCTCCTGAGCTAATTGAGACACTTAGAGACTCAGATCAGTACCAGGGATTTGTTGTGCTCTCCCCACAGTGCCCCAGAATTTCCCTGGAAGGACTTGGGGTGGGCTCCACAAACCACTGCTCTACACTGCAGTGGAGTGCGCTCTGTGCTAGAAGGAGGGGACTGCTCCAACTGAGGCCTTCCTAGGAAGACTGAGGTGGTGGGCCAAGCACAAGGGGGACCCAATACACCCATTTTGTGACAGCTGTTAGCCTCTCAGTTTTGTGTATCCAATTCTAGATAATATAATGGTGTCCTCTGATCAAAGGAACTGCTGAATAATCACTAAAACATAACGGGATAGACAAAACTCCTCCCCCCATCCCCTCCCCACACACATACACAGATCCCACAGGACACACATTTTGTCAGTATCTCCCCTCTCCACCCATAATGCACTCAAACCACATGATGGCAAACTCAGGCTTGCAGACACACTCCCAGGTACCCACAGGCCTTATTAATTCACTTGTTCCTGGGCACCTACTTTTAGGTAGTGTTAAATACCACAGACTCTAATATGAATGGAATTGCCTCTGCTCTTGAGGGGCTGTCTCATTTGCTGTCCTCATAGTTTCTTTTTTGAAACTAGAGCAAAGTGGCTTGGTATACAAATTAATCCCTGTTAACACGATAGTGGGGAGTTTTCTGCTTCTTTCATGGCTTATAGCTCCTTCTCCATTGGAGTGAAGACTTAGCCCTCTCACCTTCTGAGCAGGAGCACTAGGGGAGATCAGGTTGTCAAGTTCCTCCAGACAAAAACAAAAAATTACTTCATCAGGAATCTGGACAGAGGAGGGCTCCATGTAGACAGTGCCAGAACAGCTTCAACGAATCTCCATTCTTTTGTGGGGGCCTCCTTAAATTCGGACTCTCTGTTTAGGATGAGGCACGTCTGTAGAAGCCAAAGCCAGTTAGAGGCAAGGGGTTCCCGCTCTTTAGCTGTCTGCAGAAATTTTGATCCATACCCATTTCTATCCTGACTTTGGTTTGAGGAAGTCCAATTGAGTCTGAATTTGGCCAATGCAGGGGGAGGGGGTGGTCTCTGTTGGGCAAAGAAACCTGTCCTCCCCTTTCCCAACAAAAATATAGCAGTGGCTATTAGAGAAGAAGTTTCGTGCTGATCTCAGATGCCTTTTCCTGTGCTGTCTGAATGGTCCAGGCCAGGGTGAGGGGTTGTGGAGATAAGTTGGGGCCCCACAGAGGGCTGGTTGGAAATTGGTGACAGAGAAGAAACAGGAGAGGGTTAGCCAGCAGGACAGCCAGCTCTTTGTCAGAAGCTGACCCCAGCCTCCCAGGTTGTGTGTGAGGAGAGGAAGGAGGGCAACAAAGGGTCACTTAAGGTGCTTTTTTTTTTTTCTCAAGGTACTTTTAAGGGATCTTGTGGGAGGGCAGATGGGGCAATTTTTGTCAATTTGGCTGTATGGTATGGAGAGATGTAGGCCCTATTTGGGATTGCTGCAATGTCTAGAGAATGTTGGTTATCCTATAAAACGGGGTAAGGTGGTGTACTGAGAAATATTTGAAGAGGTGTATAGGCATGAAGAGAAAAGGCTGGAAGGGGCCTAGAATTTCTCTGGGGCCTGGTATGGAGCATACATTTAGGGAGTGCATTTAACAGCATGACAGTAGAGTAGGTCTATCTGTGAAAGTGTTTGGGGAAGGTTCTGCTTTTCTGCAGCTGTCCTGGAGCTCCTTTCCCAGCTGGAAGGGGGCAGGAGAAAACAAAATAAGGAGTGGACACTGTCTCTTTCCTTTTCTCCCCACCACTGACTGGTGTGCTCCCAGTTCTGGCAGTGTGAAGAATGGACACTGTGGAAGCCTCTAGAAAGCCTTTCCCTTGAGAAAGGGCCCTGAGACCCTGTGAAGGCTAGCAGAGGGAAAGCCTCTGACAAGCACAGCCCTGAGAATGCCCTGAGACCTGGGGGTGTCAGGCTGTCTGCTTCAGTTCCAAGCTGCTCTTCTGGTAGGAAAACACTGGACCCCGGCTTTATCCTATGTCAAATTATCCCCCACATCACAATTATGCAGGGATTGTTCAGTCTTCAGTCTTTGAGGGGAGCATCAAATGAAACCCACTGGTCATGGATTTGCATCTAACCGAGGTGAACAGCATTGAGGCTTGGGGCTTTGTCCTAGATTGTTTAGAGGTGGATAAAACAAATTGGCCGACAGGATGGCCCAACCCGGGATCCCCCGGAGGGCACCCGTTGGCCAGTGTTGGAGGACCTCTGCTGACAGAGCCCGCCCATATGAGGCCGACCGACTGGCTCCAGATGTCTAAGTCGTAGGAATTTTTTTTTTTTTTTAGAAAAGTGGTAGAGAGTAGGGTGCGTGGATGGGTTTGGTAACTCGGGATGGGTATTCCAACTTCTCCCTGACAGGCACAGCGGCTCAGGTAGGGGCCCGGGGCCCCTTCTCAAAGATTCCGCCAGGCAGCGAAAATTCGGATCCTGCCTGCGGGAGGCGGTTGAGGCCCCGGGTTAGGACCCGGCGTTATTCGGCTATGATTCCCCGACCAGAGAGAGCCGGGTCGGGAAAGCCCGGAACCTGAAACCTTCCAGGAGAGTGATCCTTCCCGGGACCGCGTCTCTCCAGACACTCGGGGACCGAACCGGAGTAGGAGCGCAGGGTTCGAGGTTGGAGGCGCACCCGTTGGGGTAAGGGAGAGAAGGCTCTCGCGAGGGGTCTCCTTGGCCACCGTCAGATGTGCAGGTGTTGCCCCGGTTAATGTGGACTGGAATTCTTCAGCCTCCCCCTTCTGGAACTTTGTGCGCGAACAGGTTCAAGAGATATTCCCGTTACGGCGAAAAAAGAGGCCCAGCTTCGCTCAGACCCGCGTTTCCCAGTAGGAGCCCCTAACTTCCAAAACCTTTCCCTCATTGTTTTGGGTTGAAAAACCATTAATAGAGATCCTGCCGTCCTAAAAGATTAGGATCTCAGTCTGAGAGGGATCAGTACCGGAGAAGCACAAGAATATTCTGATGAAAGGAGGCAGGTAGGGGTAGAGATTCCAGTTATCTGCTGCTTTTCCCATCTTTGAGCCCTAGACCTGGTGCAATATACCTAGGGTCAAATGAAAGTGCAGGACCTACAAAAAGAGTGAGGTTGTAGATCAAAACCACAAATGGCAAAATGGATTGGATGGGAGGCCTGCCTCTGGGTGAGGCAGGATCGGCACACAGGCATAGTAGTTCCTCCCCGAGACCTTCTCCGGTGGGAGGGGCGCCCAATTGCGCAATCGGGCTAAACCCGAGAAGGGGGAGGGGCGAGGCCGGCGGGGGGAAACGAGGCGGTGACGTCAGACTAGACGGAGCCAATCAGACGCTGGTCTGGGGAGGGAGCGTGAAAGGATGAATGAAAAGTCCGGAGCCGGAGCGCGCCAGGCCAGAGCAGCGGCAGAGGCTGAGGCGGGAGCTACGAGGTGAAGCCCTCCCTCTGCCCTGCTCGCCTAGGCTCCGCGGAGGCTGAGATCCCGGCGGGCACCTCCGCCCCGGCGCCCGCTAAGCCCTGGCATTCCAGACCCAGGGCCTTGGCGCTCCGTAGACGGGAACGTGCTGGGAGGACCGCGCGGAGAGC